AACTTGAACTGCAGAAGCAACAAAATTTACAACAGCAAGTAGGACCGCAACAACAAATCGTGCAACATCTACCGCAACAACAACAACAGCAGCAACAACAACAACAACAGCAGCAGCAGCAACAACAACAACAGTTGCTGAAACATCAACTAACCCATCAGCAACAACAGTTGCCGCCACAGCTAACGTTACAACAACATCAACAACAGCAGCAACAACAACTACTTGCCCTCCAACAGCGGTTCATACAACAACATCAACAAATGATCAAAGACAGAATGCTCATGGTTTGTTTTTTACTTACTTCATAACCATGATGCGTTGTCAATCATTACAATCATTACGGTTGCATTCGTTGTTTATTTTTGTAATAATTTCACTCGAATAAACCGTAGCAGCTGTTGTACATTAAATTCCCATTGAACAATTTCACGCCCCTATTCACAGAAACCAAGGCGGAAGTGCAGTTTGGACCAGTGCCAGCCCAACTCCTCCACTACGACCCCCGTGAAAGACGTCACAAGATCGATCTCCCTGCGGCAACCTCCAAATCTTTCTCTCCTACCCACTCCATTTTTTCAAAATCCACTCAATTCTGAGCAGACCCAAACACCCCTGGCAAAGTTAAATCTCCCCCAAACTCACCCACTGCAGCAATCGCAATTTTTAGGTGAAGGGCCTAATTTGAAAGTGTTAACCGAAGGGCCGAACTTGAAAAGAACCCAAATTTCCAGAGCCGGCTCGATGGTACAAAACGCCACATCATTTTTTTCACCCGTGGTTCAGGTGAACAGGGCCTCATCTTTCAACCAACCACTCTTTTTGCAGCCGAGCACAGATGTCTCGGCAATGTTGAAGCAACAGTCTCGCTACAAGATTGACGTCCTCCAATCTGATGTTGCAAGGGCGATTTTGCTTGAGTCCGCTGGTCTAAGGAGTCCGCCGAGTATGAATCTCGTTGACGTACAGTTCGAAAATTTCAACTGCCCTGGAGATGATGGTGACGATGTTAGCAATTGTGAGGCAGGCAATAATGATGAGGGGGCCGGCGAGGGCAACGATTTTGATGGCGGACATATTTTCAGTGGTGGGGAATTGGACGCAGGTCCCCTGTACGATGGTGATGATGGAAGTCGAAATTTCAACCTTCAGCTGAACGCACTGGAACAGACGACGCCACAGAAATATTTTTCTAGTCCCCAGTACAACAGCATGGAAGACAACCAGCCCAACAGAGCTGAGGCGTGTGACGGGCCTGCTAACAACTTCAACAACGACTTTCTCAACAATATTTTAAAGCAACAGCTTTTAAAATCCAGTCAGAAACTGCATCCACCTCCGCCTTATGAACATGCCACTTCCAAACAACAACACAACAACAACATTCCTATTGATAACGCCACGTCCAAAGAACAACACAACAACAACAACATTCCTACTGAACATGCCACTTCCAAACAACAACACAACAACAACACTCCTATTGAACATGCCACTTTCAAACAACAACACAACAACAACACTCCTATTGAACATGCCACTTCCAAACAACAACCCAACAACAACTTTCCGAATGAAACGATCATGAGATTCCAAAGTGCCACAACTACTTGGACCAACAGCCAACAAATTCTAAACAGCAATAGCAACTGCAATAACATAAACATCATCACCACCACCACCACCAACAACAACAACGCATTCTTATCTCAAGTTTCGCCACTCCTAGAAAGCGTTCCAAATTACTCTCCTCAGGATGTTAGCATGTACGACTGCAGACATCCAACATTCTACATTCCCGAAGCAAACCATCAACAAGATACCGTCACGGATATGAACGAAATAGCTCAATTAATGCCAGACAGTCTCAGCATAGTTCCAATCTCTCTACAACCGACCACACACGACCACACAATCGTCGAATCGCTTCCAGAACATTCCAACGTTCAAGATGCTGCTGATGCCGAAAAATTTTCACCAAAATCAGAAAGCATTCAGACAGATAAGTTGACGAAGAATAACGTCGAAGTAGCACAAAAGGATACAGAATCGTCGTCGGTAAAAGGTAAAAATATAAAACTTCTGCCCAGCCCTGTTGACGCCTGCATCAAAAAACTTGCCATAGCGCAGAAGATGACAGCCGTCAGCACGCCCGTTAGGCAAGCCCATCAAGGAAGATTGCTACCCTTTATGGAAAACTGACCAATCCATTTCAATGTCCCTCCTCTACATTGTTTTGTCACCGTGTTTAACGTTTCGTTTTGTCAGGTCTATAAAGAATTGTGTAGAAATTATTATTAAGTGATGTGTTTTTTTAAATATGATTGATTGCAATTGTTAATTTTAATTTTATCCGAACATTAGCAATTCTTTTTTGTCCAAAATTTACGAAGGAAATGAAGTAATAATCTCTTGTGTCGTGTTCCTCCTCTCAGTAACATTCGAATGTGTAATGAATCGAATCTGAGTTAATGAAAAAATTTCTCAAATACAAAACTTTCGCCGTATATTGTAGTAGTGAAGTAATAAGTAATAAGAAGAAGTAATAAGAAGAGAATTTTAGAGAAGAGAATTTTAGAGAAGAGAAATTTAAAAGTTGTTGAAAATAATAGTAATTTTTACACTCAATTCTAGTAATTTCGGGATATTTTTCTCATGTAATTTTAAGCCCGACACGTCAGATACAGGCATATATATATATATATATATATATATATATATATATATATATATATATATATATAAAATCATGGATACAGAATTCAACGTTAAATGTGCATTATCTAAATATTATGTTAATAACTTTTTATGCATTACACGGCTAAGTTAAATATATATTTATAAAAGAGGCAAAATACAACAATTTCTTTTAAACCACTGTGATTTGAAGCCAATTTTACACATTTCATAACTTTCAAACGGGTTTTACTTGAGATTTAGAAACGAGTCAAGCAAATATGGGATCGAGGGATATAATCCGTGTGGTTTTAAATCACGGATATATTATATATATATCCGTGTTTTAAACTTATTAGTTGTTATTCTGAATAATTAATTATACTTTTAAAGCAAGCAATAATTAAAGGTAATATATATATATATTCATGAAAAGACTTATTTTTATCGTTAAAAATGAACATTTAGACAAAAATCTCGCAAACATTTGTGAAGACCATAGATCATTAAAACAAAAATAGATAAAAAATAAAAGTACGTTAGCGATAATGCGTTTTGTTATTGTTTTCATAATTCGTTTTTCAGTTTTACGGATTTTTAAAAGCTAGGAAAAGACGTTTCAATTAAATTTGAAGGGATTGATTTCTGATGAAAAAATTTTTAAAATGCTCAAGTGCGATGTCTGTCAGGTTCCCATTTCATCAGGTCTGTAAAAGTGTAAAAAGATACTAAAGAATATTATTTTTTTTAAATTTAAGGCTTACCTTACTACACCTTTTAATTAAGACTTTATTTATATACTTACATTGAATTGATTCATTAGAAAAATTAAATAAATTATTATATCCTTTAAAAAATTTTTAATTTAATATTAAAATTAATTTTTAATCAATTATTATATTTTATTTTATTTTAATTTTAAAAACGGACAAAAACATTCTCTAATTTAAATTTCTATCAAAAAGTCAAAACCTGATACTTTCTTTAAAATTTAAAAAAAATTTAAAGTTTAAATTTGATTTGTATTTGATCATTAGTTATTTATTTATTAATTAAATAATCCAGCCTAGTTACTAAATCTGAATTGCAATTGACCAAATCCAAATTGAATATGAATTCACGCACAATACAAATAATATATAAATAAATGAAAATTTCTGCTCATTCCCAAATTAAATCTTAAAGTAACTCAAACATTTTAATTTAAAAAGTACTTATTTCATTTTTATTTAAGATTCCATTAAATTAAAAAGTCAAAACTGTAATTTTTAGCGAATATTATTTACTAAATTACTAATATTACTTTATTTAATAGTTCAATTTAATTTTTACATATTATTCTAAAACTTTAATGTGGGAATTATCAAATTTTCAAATATTTCTATTTTATTTCTTACTTAATTTCTCATAAAAAAAAAAACAAAAAAATTATTTAAAACCAGAAACTGCAATGGAGAGCCACATTAAGGGCAAGAGGCACCTGAAGTTAGTGAAACAAGCAGAGGTGGAGAGGAACAGGCAGACTCACAGTGCTCACATCAGCTGGCAGGGCAGCTCGACCAACATCGAAATCGATAAACTCCGAACTTTTGTTCAGGGGTTTGGCTCTTTGAAAAGTCTTTTCGTGAACAATGTCAAGGTAGGAGGGACAGGGTTTTGATTTAGGGTGAATAATTTTAATGATTAGTGATGATTAGTTATGTGGGGACATTGTAATCTCATTCAATTCTGTTGAACTGGATGTATTTTTTATTTTCCAATAGTTATAAGTTGTGTACTGATGATTTTGAAGGATGGTTTTACACCTATTTTGAACACGAGTGACATAAATAGTTCATCATTTTAACATTTTTCAAACTTCTTCATCACTGTATAACTATCTTTTTTTTTGTTATTTCCATCCATCACCATCAAAAGTATCCACAACATCCTCCCCTGACACAGAAATTTGGCATAGTGGAGTTTGATGACTCGAGTGCGTGTTGTGCCTTTTTATCCAATGACATCTACAAGGTCGAAGGTGACGTCAAGGTCACCGTCCGGCCGAGAACTTTGAGTTCTGGAGTTGAAGAACGTGGTGGCAAGGTATGTCTCTGATCGTTATTTGTGTTTGTTTGTTTGCTTGTTTGTTTGATTGGTTATTTGAATGCAAGAGGATTATTACTTTTTTATATTTCTATTATCTTTCTTTCTCTCTCTCTCTCTCTCTCTCTCCTTTTCTTTTCTCTCTTTCATTCACTCTCTTGTTCTCACAGACGAATGCAGTGCATTATCAGCTCTTGAGATACATAAGTGATACCAACATCAGTTTTGTTGGTGCAGTTCTGGCTGCTCTATTTATTAACAGTAATATTAATAGTTATATCATTTACAGCAGAAACAAAAGCAAGAACAACCACAAAGACAGCCACGAAATAGACCACAACAACCACAACAACAACAGTTGAATGGTATTAGTAAAAGTTCTCAACAAACTTCTCAGATTAAAAACCAACAACAACCACAACTGCAACAACAAAGTCAGCAGCAGCAACAACAACAGCAGCAGCAGCAACAACAACAAAGACAACGTCGTAATGTCCAACAGGACTCTCAATTCAATGAAAGGTTTACTAAACTGCAGCATAAGTTACAACAACATCAACGAAAGACAAAAAACAAACAACAACAACATATGCGTCATCAGAGTGACAACAACACAGCTACCTCTCCTCCATCGCAGGTATCTGAAGTGACAGTTAGCCACATCCAACAACATCAGCAGCAGCAACAACAACAACGTCAACATCAGCAGCAGCAGCAGCAGCAACAACAACGGCAACATCAACAAAAACAAACGAAACAGCCAGGCAGCATTAGAATAATAAAACGTTCCAAGGCAGATCAACAAAAACATCAGCGTCAACATCTCTCACAACTGCAACAACAACAACCGCAACAACAACAACAGCAGCAGCAACAACAACAATTCCTACCAAGATATCTACGACGAAGCCTGCATTATCAAGAACAACAACAACAACAATACCCACGCAGATCAGCATTTAGAAATCACAACAAACAACAACATTTCTACAATAAACAAAAACGATGCAATGACGTCATTAACGACGACGATGATGATGAGGAGGAGGAGGAGGAGGAGGAGGAGGAGGAGGAAAAGGCTAAACTGGATGACCTTATACGATGCTTGCTGAAATGCGATTCGGTTAGTTAGTTGGTTGGCTGGTTGGCTAGTTCATTGATTGATTGCTGTCTGGCTGGCTGATTGGTTGATTGATTGGTTGTTTAGTTGGCTGGTTGATGTATGGATTGATTGAGAAAATAATAATAATAATAATAATAATAACAGGTGCCGGATCAGATGCTAACACTAGTGGCGTTGTTGCAGTTGACAGAGCAAGATCTAATCCAGAGGTCGAAGGTCAAGGAGAGGTTGAAGGTCATACTGAGGCCGTTCTCTAATGCAGGTTGTTGTTGTTGTTGTTGTTGTGGTTGTTTGAAGTTAAAAGTTGACGTCACAAAGATTTTATAATGCTTCTGACGCTGTTTCCTCATCTGCAGACAATTCTGACCCAGTTTCCATATTCGGCTCATCAGCCAATGGCATGGGGGTGAAAGGATGTGACCTTGACCTATTCATGGATATTGACCTAAATCGAAATGTAGGTCACGACGACGACGATGTTGATGCGATTATTATTTAGTTACATAGTATAAATAAATTTATGGGTACATTGCTTCATTCAATTCTTCGAACATTTTCTTTTTGTTGGGTTTTATCACGATCATCATTGTATTATTTCATCATCATATTCATCACCAACAAGATGGTTGGAAGTACCTGATTGTACGGAGATCCTTTCACTCACTTATCATATTCATGTAATGTGAATTTCTGGAATGTTCATTTCAAAGTTGTAACACCACAATACTTTCTTTCTTTCTCTATTTTTAGTCCGACCTGACCTACATAAAGCCAATAATGCGGCGAATAAGGAACCAGTTAAGTAGGTCATGTGGTGAGTTCACTGAAGTTCTGCCCATCCATAGCAAGAGGTGCCCACTCATAAAGTTCACCTCGAAGTGGATTGGCTCCAGTTTGAAATGTGACTTGTCATTTAATAATTGGTCAGTGGGTTGGTTGGTCTGTTGGCTGGTTGGTCAGTGGGTTGGTTGGTCTGTTGGCTGGTTGGTCAGTGGGTTGGTTGGTCTGTTGGCTGGTTGGTCAGTGGGTTGGTTGGTCTGTTGGCTGGTTGGTTGGTTGGTCTGTTGGCTGGTTGGTTGATTGATTATGCGATATTTCACTAATACATTAATCTTTATGCCCTGGTGGATCGGTTTGTTGATGAAATATTTATTTACGCGCGGTTTTCCAATTGAACCCTCTTCTGATTTTTATGCCTGCTTACATATTTCAATCAATCATCAAACATTTTCTGATTGGTTGACATCATGTTTCACACCAAACCGCGCCCGCGCAGGTTAGCCATGCAGAACACACGGATCCTCAAGCATCTAGGTCAAGTGGTGACCTCATTTCGACCTCTCTGCTTCGTGATTCGCCAGTGGGCGAAGGTCAATGACATCGCTGGTAACGTCAATGGCGGTCCCAATTTGACCCACTACGCTCTTTACATGCTCGTCTGGTTCTACCTCAGGGTCAGGTTGGGGTTGAGGTCATTTGAGGAGATGTCGAACATTAGCGGTTGGTGGGGTTTTGTTGGTGCCGTTTCATTCATCTATTCATTCTTCAATTCATTCATCAATTCATTCATTTATTAATTATTTCATTCATTCGTCTATTCCATTCATCCATCCATCCATCAATCCAGCTACGAAGCAGTCAGTTGACGGATGGGATTGCTCCTTCTCGTTCGATCCATCACACTTGCTGTCCACAGCAGCAGGTAACAACATCATCAGCCCTCCAACCAAATCTGTTCAGGAAGCTTTAGTGGTCGCCGGCGTAGCTTCAATTTGTGGTGACGGCGATGATGCCACCGCAGCTGTTACTGCTGTTAGCGACGCTGAAGATAAAGATGACGTCAAATGTGATAATGAAGAAGATGACGATGAAGAAGAAGAAGATGATGATCAAATCTGTGGAAATGATGATGATGATGATTCTAACTGCAAATACGACGACGACGATGAGAATGATGACGACGACGACGACGATGAGAATGATGATGACGAAAATGGTAATGCTATCGAGAATGATGATGAGGATGATGATGATGAGGACGATAACGAAGACGCAAGAATCATATCCATGTCTTATGATTATGATGACGGAAGCAATGGTGTTGGTGTTAGAAACCGGGATGATGATGATGATGATAGCGGCGATGATGATGACGACTGTGACGACGATGATGATGAAGATGGTGGAGATTCTGATGACGATGATGAGGTGGATGGTTTCAACTCGTCGTCGTCTGCATTACCTCATTTATCATCACCAAAGGCCAAGTTTGTTGTTGACGATTATGCAATAACAACAACTACTACTACTACTACTACTAATGCTACATCAGCAGCAGCAACAACAACAACAGCAACACCAACAATATCAACAAGAACAAATACTCCGCCACCAATACCAGCGCCTAGGTTGTCTTTAAAGCGCCATCATACACCATTAACCGAGGTACCACCATTGGTGGTACCACCATCATCACCATCGAAAGCAGCAGCACCACTTCTATCGTCGTCGTCGCCACCGACGTTACCATCGCTACCACCATCATCATCATCACTAGGGGATTTATTGTTTGGGTTTTTTGAGTTTTACTCTGCTGTTGATTTCAACAAGGGCTACCTGAACTTGAGGAGGGGGCAAATGGTGAAGTGGGAGGATTGCGATGGCGCCATCCAGTTTAAGGTTGGTTGGTTGGTTGGGGTTGATTGATTGATTGATTGATTGATTGATTGTTTGATTGACAGAAAACAGTGATGAACGTCCAGGATCCCTTCCTTCTGAGCCATAACATCACCCACAACGTCAGCCCCTTCGTTCTCAGCAGAATCACCAGGGCCCTCAGAAGGGCATCCACCTCGTGCAAATCGCAACAGTGGCTACCTCCTTGTCGTAGTGGGGGCGGCGTTAACAACCACGATAATGCTGCCGTTGTGGCTGTTGGTGATGATGTAGGGAAAAATATTTTGAATAACTCTCTGGCTACTAACCCGAATACATCACTATCATCTTCTGCCAACAGAGGGTCTCAGACGTTAGATTCAAGTGACTCCCAACGGATACTTGCCTTGAGCGAAGGGCCTTCTGTACCCCTAATAGATAGGGCAACTGAAAGTGATTGCCGGCAGCATCATACTGCTGCTGTTGGGCCAAGCAACCGCACTGATAAAACATCTGCTGCTGACGGAAAGGATCTTTGGGGCATAGCGCTGCTGTTTGAGAAGTTGAAAGAAGTCGAGAAGTCGTCAGGAGCTGCGGTCGCAAAGGCAAAGGTGAGGAAGAGATGTAAGATCAAGCCGCGAGCGTTTGTGGCGAGATTACATCTGAGTCCTGCCGATGCCAACGACAAGAAAGATGAAGCCAAGATAATGAATGATGACGCTACTCCGCCCACGATGCAGACGTCACCAGCTACCTCAACCAATCAGAACATGTTAGCGGTTCTTTCGGCCAATAAGAACATACCGCCAGTTCTTCCAGCCAATCAGAACGCGAGAAAAACTGTGTGGGCTGAGAAATTATTGAACAACATTATCAGGGTACTCACGGAGGTTTTTCTGGTTGAAATTCACAGACTGGAGGGCACGAAGGGCTTGTTTCACCCCAGGAATGTGAGATTCAGTAGGAGGTTTTCTGGGGTGTCCATCTGCCTGGATGAGGTGAGTATCTTTTGAGGCTGTGATAATGATGATGGCGAGGATGGTGGCGGTTGTGTTGTGGGATGATGATATTATTTGACCTTTATTGCATTTAATGAGAGTACCAAACAAACCACTGCAAAACTCCTTTAAATGTCTTCTCGGTGATAAAAGTTTCCACCAGTCAGAAAAGTTTGTCAAAATTTATTCCACAGAGTTATAGTGAGAAGATTGAAAAAGTTTCCGGTGACGTCACGATGGAGGAGGAGGATGACGTCAGCATTAACTCTGGTATCTTGAGTAGCAAACAGAAAAATAATTCGAACATCCACATCGGCACACGCCACCTTCCATCGTCATCTTCATCATTCTTACCACCAAAAACAACCATCACCACCACCATAGCCACCACCACCATCGCCACTACCACCACATCACGAGCTCAATCAAAAAGGATCGTATCGGAAAAATCGTCGTCGTCGTC